AAAGGGGCAAAACTATATAACGAATATATATAAAAAACCTTTAAACAGCTCCCAGCTACGTACCAAGTGTCTTAGCTCGGCCCGTCCCCTTCCGTTAGTCACGGCCTGGACAGTCCTCATGGCACGTATCTGTTTACGTATTGGATATTACGTCATCGACTCCTAGGATAGGTGAGATTTGGATGCCATCAAATCTTTTTCGAGTCGAAAGAGAAAAAAATTCTATCAAGCCGTTTTGTTCAAATTTTCTGAGCGGAAGATTTTTTTTTTCCCCTGACCAAAACTGATTGCCCTTCAGCCAAAATAATGTCCGTCCAATTCGAGTTCCACACCATCAGTCCATATGACGGACTTTTCGATGCGCTTCGCGTTGTATGCCTACAACCCTCATCGACTCCAGAATTTCATAAATAATATAGTTGTACAGGTGGATTATACAAAATCACATATTTGAATATGAATGCAGAAGATCAACTCATCTCAGCTTGGGAAAGCCGGAGATATATTCCCAAGCCAGGTGAACCTGACTTGCCTCCCCAGCTCTCCGAGTTGGCACAGAAGTCTACTCAAGATATCATGGATGAAATCAATAGATTGCCCTTTTTTATGAATGAGTTGGACGACAGTGACGGACAGGGCGGTGAAAATGTGGGCTTAGAAGCTTTGAAAAGTTTGGCTTACGATGGAGAACCTGACGAAATCGCCACCAACTTCAAAAACCAGGGAAACGATTGCTTCAAAGCAAAGCAGTACAAAGATGCAGTTGAATACTACACAAAAGGTCTCGATATAGACTGTGGCGTCAAAGGAATTAACTTGGCTTTGTATGTGAATCGTGCTGCATGCAACCTTGAACTTAAAAACTATAGAAGATGTATCGAAGATTGCAAAAAAGCTTTGATCATTGACGAAAGCAATGTCAAGGCGTGTTACAGAGCAGGAAAGGCGTTCTTCCTTGTTGAGAAGTATGATGAAGCCACTCAACTATTGCAGTACGGGTTGACTAAGGACCCTGAAAATAAGGCAATAAAAGAAACACTTGCTGCACTCAATAAGAAGGTGTCGCTAATACAAGAAGCTCAGCAAAAGAGGGAGCAAGCCGCTTACGAAAAAAAACTCCAAGAGACACTCTTGGCGAATGCCATTGGCCTCAGACATATAGAGATTATCAAAACCTCGCGCCCGGCTGAGTTGTTGGAAAATGCTACTTTACGTTTAGAGGATCCATCGGATTACGAGTCTCAACTCATAATGCCAGCGATGGTTTTGTATCCTACTATCGACGAATTTGATTTCATAGCCGAGATTAGCGAGCTTTCAACCGCAGCAGAAATATTGAGCATTATCCTCGACAGACCACAAGAATGGTTCGAGAATCCCAAACACAAGTGCTTTTCTCTTAGAACACTTGATTGTTACATGGAAACCATCTCTGGGGGGTTGGTTAAAGTGGGAAAGAAGGCTGCGATCAATAGTGCTTTGATGGGCGATAATGCTAAGGCGCCTTTATTCGATAATGCTTTGAGACTTTATGTTGTGCCTAAAGTTGACTCGGCCGAATGGCTCAAAGCATGGAGTAAAGAAGACGCTTTAAAAAAACGTAGAGTATAGATAAGATTAGACAGTTACCAATTACTATGTATCTTGCGGGATCACATAGTTCGCAGGGGAACTCTGTCTGACCGGCTCTTAACGGATCTAAAGACATCTTCCATATCTAAGTCTGTACACTCGCCAAATACTGCCTTAGGATCTAAGTTCAGCTTTTCGTTCATAGCTCGCAAAATTTCTGGGGTTCCAGCCCAGCTTTTGACATGCTTTGTGTCACGTAATAAATCATCATCAGAAGGGATATCTGGGAGTGAATCAGGCAGTGTTTCTGGATGTAAGCCATGGAGAACACGAGCACGTGGGTTAACAGAGGGAAATTTCGATGGCGTTCTGGAGCCTCTAACATCTCTAGGAAAGGGTTTTGTCGTGCTTTCCTTCCTAAACTTTCCACGAGCGGCATCAGGCAAAGGGACCGCGTTCCCAATGGCTCTTTTTTTGGATGTGTTGTGAGTGCTTGGTATACCAATCGAAGGTGTTCTTACTTTTTTGAGAAGTGCCTGTGATCTGTCTACTTTCGTTACTTCCCTTTTCTCTGGGCTCAGAAAATCTTTTTTAAGAGCAAGCCTCGGATCGCTCGTGGATTGGAGATGCGGGAACAATTCCGGCTTGGGCTCAAGTTCTGGTCTGACTGCAGATTTTAGATCTCTAAAATGACTGGTGAGCTTCAATGGTCCAGCATGAGACTCAACCAAAGCTTTCGGAATATGGGATTGGACGTTATCAGGGTGCACCAGTTTCCGCAATCGCCTGGTGTTATTGGGGAGCAAGGCTGTCGTCAGAAATCTATTTTTTAGAAAGTCTTTATCCGATGAAAACGATTTACCATCTTTTTCTGGGCCTGAGGGCGGGAAAATCTCCTGCTGAGACCGGTATTTAGCGAGGTTCTGAGCTTGGTGAATCGACACATTTGTCATGGAGCCTCTGATGCTCCCGCGGTCAGATTTATGACTATAATTTGTTGGGGATCTAGAGCTGGAAACGGAAGATGAGGCAGTTAAGCGAGATAGAGGTTCGGCAACTCGAGATTTCACTGGAGACCTTCCAATGAAAGGAGGCTTCGATGCTATTTCTCGCTTGATAGGAGAGCCAGCATTGGTGGTTCGAGTGGAGAGGCGATCCGGTAGTCGATGGGAAGGAAATTTTGTTGGCGAAAGCCTCATGGATTTCACAGGACTCTTGCTCACTTTTTTGGGTGGAGGAAGGATATTAGAAAACACTTTCTTCGAAAACAAATTTGGAACTGGGGCTGGTGGCTTCGCCTGATTCGATTCATTCTGTGAGTCTTCGCCACGGCATTTAGTTTTCCGAGGATGAGGTTCCAGAGGCTGGTTGGTTTGATCTGCGGTATGTATACTTTGCGAGAAGTGAACATTGCTTGCCAATGAATTTTCTTTTCTCCTTTCGGTTTCCCCTGCTCCGGCTTGAGTTGTAGGGTGTATTTTTATAGGCTCTTTGTTCGGCAAACTCACAAAGACAATTCCAGTGTAGGAGGATGTGTTTGATCTAGATCTTGAATTAGAGGATTCAACTTTTGGGGGGGCTTTGACAGAGTCTGGATCGGGTTCCATCTTGACCTTGACATTTTTTATACTGGCGTCAGGCTTTGGTAAGGACCTCAGCACGTAATTAGAATTCTTTTGATCATTTCCCGTGAACAGAGTATGAGAAGCTAAGATGTCAGATTGAACATCATTGTGCAGACTCGAGAGACCAGGATGAAGGCCCATAGAGGTTTTGCCAGCAAAACTCTTTCGAATTGCAGTGCTGATGGCTTGAAATGAATTATCAGCGCCATCGTCGCTCCCATTTGTGTCATTAGTTTTTGTAATTTTGGCTGAAGGTTCTTCTGCGCTATATTTGGAATTCACAGCCAGTGAAAGGGGATTCGACGATACATCAACATCAGGAGCGGTGAAAGAAGCAACACGGCCATTCACTATTTTTATAGGAGAGAATGAGCTAGGGTCGTTCAAGCTGACGTTCAGTTTTGAAGCTGAAGCGATGTTCTTTGTTGACATTTTAGCTCCCCAATGCAGTTCATTGGCGCCAACATGCGATGGCCTAATGGTCGCATCATTTTGAATGGGGGCATCGGCGAGCCCATGTATGTTTTCTGCTAGAGGATTGATTGGATCAGGTAAACCCAAGGGCGGGGCCGAAGCCGTGTCTTCCAAGAAACTGCGGTCATTCGATGTTTCCACCTTTACCTTTATTTTACTAGACAGCGTCTCATTCCTGGGCAGGAAGACCCGCAGATCTCGCATATGCTCGCGTGAATCTGCCAGACAAGATTCGGTTGAATCAGTCGATGGGGGCTTGAAAGCTGGGCCAGGCAAAGGAGATTCAGGGTCATCTGCAGGGAGACCATGTAATATAGGATCGGAAGCGGGCGGTGCAGAAGAGCTGGTAATCTTCTCGCTGTGTTGTAGTAATAGTTCTGGCTTTGAAGAAGGCTCTTGTGAGTCCCACTCCGAGCGAGATACCGAAGAAGTGCTTCTGAATGAATCTTCTATGGGAGAATCCGGGGGAGGCTGTGACAGCTGGACCAAGCTCAGCAAATCTTCGTACGAAGCATCATTGTTGATGGCGTCGATAATACAATTCAGACTTGAAACGCTTTTCTCGACCAGGAGAAGTATCAGCTCTTTGGCTTCCTTTGTGGTTCGTAGGTTGGACGCAGTCTCCTCCACAATATGACCCGAGGACCCAGGAACCATCTGTTTTTTCCTGCCTTTTCGGGCTGCAGTCAAAGCCCACAAGGCGAGGTTCATTTTACTGGGACCGTGGTGTTTGTGGGCTTGTCTTTTCGGGTCCAAGAAACGTGGATATGGATCTGCAGACCGCTGTTCCAGCTGTGAGCGGGTCGGCCTATACTGAAGAGTTCTGTGCAAGGTCAGCTAAGTACTATGGGCAGACATCGAGCGCGAATGGGACGCGCACAGGTGCCAGCACTGGAAAATTAAGTGACAGTCATGAACAGAACCAGATGAAAAGCAAGAAGGCATAGAAAAGTTTATATGCTGAATTGAACGATGTTCAGCATTTGAATGGTGCTCATCAATTGAATAGTGTTCATTATTTGAACGGTGCTCATCATTTGATGCCGAAATTTTGTCCAGCAGTGACTACTAATAGCACGTCCTTACGCGGTGTAGTGATGCAGGGTGCGAATAAGCAGAGCCAGAGTTCCAGCTACATAGTACTCTGATAAGTTGCCGAAAAACGTCCAAAAATAGCCACTTCACTGAGAGTGGCTGAAAGCTGTTCTTCCATTATGCGTGAAAATTGCGGACTGCTACTTCGGCATTTGGGCGTGTGGGATCCTGCTTGGGATCCCAAAGATCCTATGTATAGTGCTTCAGGTCTGCGGGGGTATTCCCAAAATCGCCAGTGGTTCGTGAGGTGACAATCATGGAGGAGAACATCCAGTCACGAAATCAAGTTCTACACCAAGGGGGCTCAAAGATTAGAAGACAATATGCACTGACCGGTTGCGTGGCTCGACTGTCCCCCCTGGTCCCCAATTATATGGAACTTTTGTCCACGTTATGTATTGAATTGGTATCTATTAAGTATGCTACGGCCCAGTGCGGCAGCGCATCAAAGTATATACCGGGCTGCTCGCTTTTTCAAAGCCGTTGGGCGAGGCGAGCCTGTCACGTGAAACCAGCGTGCGTGGATTCCATGCCCACAGACTGGCCTTTTAGATTAGAGCAGAAAGTTTCTCAGCACACGGACCTCCGTACTTTTGTATTTGAAGAATTCGTGGAGCCTCATAATTATATTACAAACTAGGATATGTAGTCGTCGTGCCAATGATGGCACATCACTCTCGGTTTGGTCTCCATTCCCAGTGGCCTTTGGGGCGTTTCACGCCTTAGCGTTGAGTGCGGCTTTCACGTCACCCTGCCGGCCCTAACGGCTCATCGAAAGCGGGCCTCGTAGTCACCATACAACCAACAATTGTAGCGCAAGCCTTCCCGTTAACACTCACAAAGCCACAGTCAAAAGCCGAATGTTCAAGTTTGGCACCAGGCCAGGTTCAGGAAATTAAGAGTGAATTGGGCGGGGTCTGTGCATAGCATCCGACTATTGGTTTCGAGCACGGGCCTGGAGTCATTTGTCAGATGCGCCTGAAGCGCATCCGCCTGCGCAGGCCCTGCCTATCCCGCCGTTTTTATCACGTTTCCCAACACCAACCCATTTCGAAAAAGACCCACCTTAAGCGTGCCGGAGCTTTCCATGAGCATCTTCCAAAAGGGCTTCAAGCGTGGAGCAGCTCTGGGATCCAAATTTAATCTTGATTTGTCCAAAACAGAAGTCGTGGGCTCCACATCACAATCTTGCCCGAATCTGCCAGCAACATACCTGGTAAAGTCACCCGCACACGAAGATGTGCCCATGTGGAATATTCTACCCTCGTATCAGTTGTATGAGTCGACATACGCCAAAGTAGTGGATCCTCTGATTGAGGATATGGGAAGTGAGCCTCCTGTCTATGAGGATACACCAACACAACTGTCTTCTTCAGACACGGGGAATGACTATTTTAGTCAACAACCGAATGCACCTGGTGGTAGCCCAAGCTTTCGTTCCCCCGAGCCTCGCTGGGAAAATACCATCTTGGCCCATGCCCACCGCATGAAACACGTGGACGAGTTCAATAAGCTAGTGGCTGATAAGTTGAAGATCGATATACATTTGACGAAAAAGCCGGGTGCTCGGGGAAGAAAACCCGAGTTCTACAGCCCACTTGAAAAAGAGTTTCTGCAGGGCGACACAATCCATGGGCACGTTATTGTTGTTAACACATGTAAGGAGCCGTTGAGCTTTGATATGTTCTCGGTGGTTTTTGAGGGACGCATGGCCGTCAATAGCAGCGATGGCTCGGGATCGAAGCCGCATCTCTTCTTCAAGTTTCTCAATATGTTCGACTTCAACGCTTCATGGACCCCGGTAAATTTTGAGGATCCGCTGGACTACATCGATCCGGTGGATAAGACTACCCTTCAATTCCCAACGAAAAGGGAATTCCAGCCGGGCGTAGCTTACAAAAAGTTTTTCAACTTCACAGTTCCCATGAAGCTCTTGGATTGTGCATGTGAAGTCCATAACATACCGGAGCATTGCGTGCTCCTCCCAAGTATTGGGTTGGACAAGACAGTGTTTTTGCAGAGATTACGTAAACTCCGGGAAGCTCCAATCAAAGCAGACAAAGCCTTACAATCAGCAGCGAGCCCGCTGAACCACATGCATTCTCTCGGAAATCCCTCAGGCAAGAAAATCGCCCCGAACCTTATAACACGTGATTACGGATTTCCAGACACTTCCATTAGCTACAGTGTGGAGACAAAAGTTTTTGGCAAGAGGTCCGTTTACGAAAGAGGCGGAAAACTTCACAACGAGGAGTTTATCGTTGTGAAAGAGGCAAGCTTACCGTTACGAGTGATCCCAAGAGTCCTCAACTCAAGCGCAAATGAAGAAGATGACAATGGCTACATAGCCGATAAGCATTATGAGATTTTCGTGAAAAGTGTTGAGAAATGTCTTGAGACAGGCCGGAGGCTTGAACGAGGTGTTTCTTCAGATCGCATAACAAGGAAGCCTTCAACTACAAAACAAACTTATGTGGCTGCTCCTACAGCTACAAAAAGTCAGCATGAAGAAGAGTGCTCCAAGGTTCATTTCCCGTATAGAAAAAAGCATTTGACGCAACCTGCGAAAATAGTCGGTTTGCTTAATGCAATCATTCCAAAACGCGAACTGATTGTGCGTTATGAAACTCCATACATATTCAGCCCCGTGACAAAAATCGATACAGACAAGCTGGGAAGATTGGAAGTTCCTATATGCCTTGAGTATCTAAGTACTGAAAATGACGGGAAGATAGTCCGTGCACCAGAAATACGGAGCATCAGCACGAAAATTGTGATTTGCACTGTGAGGTCACAAAAATACCCTATACCAATCGAGTTCACGCAGAATATGAAGTTCAGGAATGTGGTGGGGACAAGCGATGGCGTTGAAAGGTATATTGTTGCTCCATTCAAAGCGTATTTGGCTGAATTATGCAAACTAATCACCATATACGGGACACAGGCCTTGGGAGTTTCAAACCAATTACTAATGGATGTGAAATGTTTGGCAAACTTGGAAGCCAAGAGCACCAGCCTAAAGATTGAGAATGTTAAAGTGCACAGCACAGGCGGACTTGGATTCTGGCAAACTTCCACCGACTCAAAAAAGGCCGAGAAAAAAATATTTTTAGATGTTGACATCCAGAGCTTGTTTGTGAAAGATTCAAAAAGGCCGATGGAGGACAAATTGCAAGGTGCTTTGACGCTTGTTCCCTCTTTTCAAAGCTGCATTATAGGTCGCTACTACTATCTCTTGATTGAGATCAAACTAGGCAACGGGGAAACAATGCCTGTGAAAGTACCCTTCAAGATATCCAACTAGATTTAAAATTGCACGGGATAACTTCATTTTATGAATAGCCTTTTTATATATATCGAGTGAAATACAGTCGCAATGTATGTATAGAAATATATGGTTTACAAGATGTTGACGTGCGCGAATGACGTTCCCCGCAGTATCGACGATAACACAGCATACTAAGTTTTGTTATCGCACTCAGAGCAACTAGAACAGTTTCACTCTTCACTTATTTTAACTCCTCAGCTCAATATTCAGAATCAAAAAAAGATGATCAATGATTCTGGTGCACCAGCAGATTTTTGCTCTGTCTACGACGGCGCTTCGATCACAAATTTGGTGATTTCTGTTCTCATCACTGCAGGCATCTTCGTTAGTTACTTGCCACAGTATTTTCGAATCTACAAGAAAAAGACATCCGAGGGGCTTTCGGTAAGCTTTCTTCTCCTTGGGTCCTGTTCGCTGATTTTCACATTCACCAATATCATTATGATTAGCTCGAGGGCGAGGTTTTGCTGCCGGTCAGGAGCCTTGACGCTCTTCAACTGTATTAATTCACAGCTCAATCTTATCCAAATTGGACTTCAATGTACATGTGCTATAATGATTTTAGTATTTGTGATAGTATGGACGAGAGGGTCGATGAAGCAGGATAAGGAGGAGTTTTCTCGGATACTCAGAGTGAGCTATTTGGTGATGCTCCATGCCGCACTTTCGGCAACCCAGATAGTCATTGCGTTTTCGACTAGCAGATCAGTGCTTCTTGCATTGGCACAGTTCAATGGCCTCATGTCCACTTTATTGACTGTGATCAAATACGTCCCACAGATTCTCACTACTTATCGTTTGAAACACCCAGGGACGCTATCCATAGGCATGATGTGTATTCAAACCCCAGGCGGCTTTATATTCACCGCCACTCTATTTTTCACAAAGGGTTCTCACTGGAGCTCTTGGATGTCGTATCTCGTGGCTGCTTTACTACAGGGCACTCTTTTGGCGCTTTGTATCTTTTACGAGCACAACAGTGGATACGAAGATTTAGAACGAGCAGAGGTAGAGAGGATCGAGCACGAAAATGCACTGGAAGCAAACGGATTGCTACTGTAGACTGCAAAGAAATACATAATATGAAACTTTGATATAGCTGCGAGTGCCCGATTTGTTCAAACATTATTACAGCGGGTGAAACCAGAATAACACGTGTCTTCTTGGTAACAATAATACGAGAGGAGTTCTATCAACCACCCCCCTCCCTCCCCAAGACCAGAAGTGTGCGAAGTGGAATGCTTGGACTTGAAGCTTGACTGGGCTTCCAAATCTCGGTGTTCCAAAGTTGGTTTGCAGTTTAGGGTGAGACTTGACCAATTGCAAATCCGTAGATGAGGGCAATTTTATGCACTCCACCAGCGAGAAGCATTGTTGCGGCTCGCGCAAAACTAAACAAGCCTCACGGACCCAAAAGTGCTTCCGCTACTTTTCTACCAATATTCTTCGCTCCAGGGAAGCCCCTTTCAATACAAGGAACTATAGTTGGACATTGGCAGTGTTTTCCGGGTCTGGCTCGGCTTGGGCATTTGACCGAGACTGCATACACGATCCGCCCGCGAGCGCGAATCGAGCGACGAAAGAAAAGCCGAAAAAAAAGCCCTCGGAATTTTTTTGGCCAGCAGTCTCTTTATTCAACACCATGATTAAAAACATCGCCAACCAGCTCGCCGGTTTGCGTGTTGCAAGAAGAGCCGTCACCAGTCCTCGTCCTGCATTTGCCAGATCGTATGCTGTTTTTGACCGTTCGAAGCCTCACGTCAACGTTGGTACCATCGGCCACGTTGACCACGGTAAGACTACGTTGACAGCCGCTATCACAAAAGTGCTTGCCGACAAGGGAGGCGCTAACTTCTTGGACTACGGCTCCATTGACAAGGCCCCTGAGGAGAGAGCTAGAGGTATTACTATTTCCACTGCCCACGTCGAGTACGAGACCGACAACAGACACTATGCCCATGTGGACTGTCCAGGTCACGCTGATTACATTAAAAACATGATTACCGGTGCCGCCCAAATGGACGGTGCCATCATTGTTGTTGCCGCCACCGACGGCCAGATGCCCCAAACCAGGGAGCACTTGTTGTTGGCCAGACAAGTCGGTGTGCAGCACTTGGTTGTTTTCGTCAACAAGGTCGACACCATTGACGACCCTGAGATGTTAGAATTGGTCGAGATGGAAATGAGAGAGTTGTTGTCTGAATACGGTTTCGATGGCGATGAGACTCCAGTCATTATGGGTTCTGCTTTGTGTGCTTTGGAGGGCAGAGAGCCAGAGATTGGCGAGCAAGCCGTCACTAAGTTGTTGGCTGCTGTCGACGAGTACATTCCTACCCCTGTCAGAGACTTGGAGCAGCCATTCTTGATGCCTGTTGAGGGCGTGTTCTCTATCTCCGGTAGAGGTACTGTTGTTACTGGTAGAGTCGAGAGAGGTACTTTGAAGAAGGGTGAGGAGATCGAGATTGTTGGTGACTTCGACAAGCCTTTCAAGACCACTGTTACTGGTATCGAGATGTTTAAGAAGGAGTTGGGCTCTGCTGTCGCTGGTGACAACGCCGGTATTTTGTTGAGAGGTGTCAAGAGAGACGAGGTCTCCCGTGGTATGGTTTTGGCGAAGAGTGGAACCGTGTCTTCGCACAAGAAAATGTTGGCTTCTTTGTACATTTTGTCCAAGGAAGAAGGTGGCCGTCACTCCCCATTCGGCGAGAACTACAAGCCTCAATTGTTCATCAGAACCACCGACGTCACCGGTGTTTTGAGATTCCCAGAGGGTGCCGACCACTCTGCCATGGTCTCGCCAGGTGACAACGTTGAGATGGAGATAGAGTTGGTCAGAAACACCCCTCTTGAGCTCAACCAGCGTTTCAACATCAGAGAGGGTGGCAAGACCGTCGGTACTGGTATGGTCACCAGAATCCTCGAGTAGACGCTTCTCTTCGACCATATGTAAATAGTAATGAAGTCCTTGTTTTTTCTCATAGTTCCCTTGCCTTCTCAGTCCGGTTTTGCTCAGTGGATCTGGAGCATCGTTTGAGAGTATGGCCAAGCTCGAGGATCATTGACAATATCGTACGGCGCAGAAACTACAAATTGACGATCAGACTTGTCGAATGATTGGGTACCCATTGGAAATCGATTTTTCATCAGGATCCCTGTCTCTGGCTCATACATGTATGTCTGCCTGCACCATCAGACTGGGACGCGCTTGCGAAACCGCGCTCACAAACCACGAGAGACAAGTGATCACCGAACTCGTTGTTACACCACATATCCATATGCCACTCAGCCTGCCTGCCCTCGACATTTCGAGCGAGATGTCACTTCCAAGTCTGGCGAAACATCGAACGTTCTTGTTCTCACATGGCCGTAAGCTTGTTGTGTTTCCCCGCGAAGTGATCGTGGCCACCGGTGCCATAATTAGCCGCAAATTGATTTACGACGAGGACATTGTTGGAGCCACATACACAACTTTCCAGCACGACGTGTCTGAGGGAATTGATGCCCTAGTCGTGTGCCTCAAGAGCTCTGCCCATATTTATTTGCAGGGTGGTAACTCGCACATTGTGTGTTTCCCCTTCTCATTGAAAGCGGTCTTCCCCTTTGAGTCTGGTTTATTGTTGGAAAGGGAAAACGACCAGCTTTCAAGCCATGGCCACTTCTTGCCGTATCGCTTTTTCACCTTAGTCGATCCAATTGGAGACCTACGTGTGGTGACCACGTCTTCAACTTCCGTTGTGACCGCTGGCGAGTCTCTTGTGTACTTCCCGCTGAATGGTCTTGGGAAATCTTTTTTTCTATGCGTAACTTTCAACGCCCGTCAAAGGTCAGTCAATGTCTACCATGTGAAAGAGGCGGTCCGTAACAAAGTGGTGGGTTCCAACGCGCTGAGGCGTAAACGAAACATGTCCATGGCTACACCAAATCCCTCTAGGATTCTTGAGGATGAGCTATACGAGTCCATCCAGCCACCGTTTGCATCTAGCCTACAGCTGTCCATCAACATGGATAAGAAGAGAACAAGTACTCTCCTTTCGGGTGCGTCTTCTATTGCAAGAATGGGCTCGGAATCAGGCCTTTCTGAACAAAGTAAACCCATCGCAAACCATGGCTCCATGGAGCTAGGCACACTTCGAAAAGACATGATTTGGACTAAAGTTGACACATTCGCTGCGAAGGCTAGGACCCTGCACTTGACTGTTTCCGGCCTAATTTACGAAGACAAGGAGGCAATTGTGATCAGCAACAGAGCAACCAAGCAGGCCACTATCTACATATACAAACTCACGTCTGGGAGTATGCCTCATTATCACTCCTCCATGTCGATCGATTGCCATCATGCCTTATCCTTGAATCACCCTTCATTTCCCGGCTGGCTCCTACTGCTCGAAAACAGTAATTCATTACAGCTAATTCATCCAATCCTAGAGATTACTTCTCCCTCGATCAATTTTCCTGAGACGTATGCAGCAATATTAAGCATTGCAAGTACAGCTGATCACTTAGTCGCCCTCAGATCGGCGACTGAAACGAGAGATTCAATATATATAAATATTGTTCTTGAACCACGCAACAAGCTAGTACTGACATGTTTGAAAATATGGAAATATTTATCAGGGTCTAAACTAAACGAAAGTGTGTGGGTGCTTTGGAGATCAGCGATTCTGTTGGAAAATACGCGTGACGACTGGAAAGCTTATGTCATTACAATCCTCTCTCTCATATACCCGTTTGATACTCAAGAAGACCCCGAAATCCCCAGAAATGAGATAACTGAATTAATTCCAGCAGCTCGGATGCTACATGAGGCTTTCACCATTGACTATCTGCTTCATGATCTTTTTCCATACATAGTAGTCTCATTGCACTTGGTTTATGAAGAGACCAGACTTAATGCTCTCAAAGGGCACCAACTTACAAAACTTGGCATCTTGCTCACGCAATTGACCACATGGATGGGATGGCTGGAACATTGGACTTCTTACTACATGATTGATCAAACCAATATTGACAAGTTCGTGAAACTTCTACTGATCTCATTAGTTTACAATCCCCCCAACATATTTGAGCATTTGATATCTCTCTTTGAACATAGAAGGTCTCGGTTTCTTCAAATTTCTCAATTGGTTGAAGAGGGCGATGAAGTAAACAAAGAGATAACACCAAGAACTAATTCAATCTGTGAGATTTTCTCACTTCTTGCTTCTAAGAGACTGACTCCAAATGTTATCGTGAAGGCTTGTTTCGAGTATGGGTTGTCACCTAGCAAATTGGAATCACTCCCCACTGGAGTTCGTATTCCACTAAAAAACTGCCTTCTGTGTTGCCAAAAGGATCCTGAATTTGAATGGAACAGTTCCATTTTTGATTTAGTGGGTAGGCGAGATTTACCCTTGCTTTCAAAACCTGATCGCTCAATTCCAGAGAGTAATGTTCATTTGCATTCGCTAGGTAATTCTAACAGCCGTGACGCAAACTCCATAGCCGATTCACTTTCAAACAAACATGATTACTCTATGGCTTGGGATGAGCAGTCAGAGGCAGATCGGCTCAAAATTACGAAGCTCATGTTCGACAAAGATAGAAGATTCTTTGAAATCACCACTCTTTTACATCAAACGAGAATTCAAACTACCAATCTCAACATCAAAGATGGTATGAGTGAATACGACTCCACCTTATTGAAGCGCGAAACTGCCTCACTAGTTGCTTTGAGAACATTAACGATTCCCTTGGGTAGAGCTGCTTTGTTTTATGCTGGAAGAGTCCCTTTACTTACTGAGAAGTTTCCAATATCCAAATTTAATCTCAATACACTCATTGCTCCATCAATGACGACCATAGTACTTGAAGAAGGCTCACTACACAAAAAAGTTACAGATTGGGGTCATTTCCATAATGGTGTATCTTCGGGCCTTAGTATAAGTCCTTCTGCTTCATGCATCTCTGGTAGTTGGGTCATCTACAACAAACCAGCTGAAAATAATGCTCAACATGCCGGCTTTTTACTCGGATTGGGTCTCAATGGTCATCTAAAACTGTTGGAGGAATGGCACATCTATAACTACTTAGGCCCCAAGCATCCACTTACAAGCGTTGGTCTCCTTATAGGGATGGCTGCTAGCATGAAGGGAACAATGGAAAATAAGCTCACAAAAGTCTTATCAGTTCATGCTGTTGCTTTGCTACCTCAAGGAGCAAACGACTTGAATGTGCCCACAATCGTACAGTCTGCGGGTCTAGTCGGTATAGGCTTGCTTTACTTGGAGACTCAGCATCGCCGTATGAGTGAAATACTTTTGTCCCAACTCGGTGAGTTCCAGCCACATGCGGACAATCATGACGAGGAAGAGAGCTATAAATTAGCCGCTGGTATCGCCTTGGGGTTTATTAATTTGGGTAAAGGTGATGATTTGAAAGGTTTAAATGACACGCACGTTGTCAATAAACTCTTGTCGTACGCCATATCCATGAAAGATGCCCATTCAGAAGATGAATCCGACAAATCAAGTTCGGGTGCTATCATAGCTCTTGGATTCATCTACTTGAGGACAAGAAATGCCACCATAGCCACAAAGTTGCAAATTCCCACATCTGAACAACTTTTGGACTACGTGCGCCCAGATCTCTTGCTATTAAGGTGCCTATGTAGGAACTTGATCTTATGGGATAATATTCAACCCACGAGAATGTGGGTGGAGAGCCAAATTCCAGATGTGCTTCTCAAGCGGCACGACATCAACGCTCTTCATGATTTGGACAGCGATCAAATCAATATGTTTAATATCTTGGGGGGCGCATGTCTTTCTGTGGCTATTAAGTACGCATCGCTGCATGATGTTCGGGCTAGAGATGTTATTTTGCATTATTTGGATATCACTATGGTCATTTCTGTGGCATCAACTGACACATACGACCAGAAGCTTTCTTTGAGCAGTGTTTGCCAACTTCAAGACTTATTATGTCTCTGTTTGTCTGTTGTCATGGCCGGCAGTGGAGACATTGAAGTGTTTCGTCGCTTGCGGGTGCTTCATGGCCGGATTCATAAAAACTTTGATTTTGGCGCACACATGGCAACAAGCATGGCTCTAGGAATTCTTTTTCTTGGGGGTAGCCAGTATGGATTTGGCGACACTAATTTTGCAATTGCGGCCTTGATTGTTTCATTATACCCTGTGTTCCCGAATGAGGATAGTGAAATAGAAGTTCATTTGCAAGTATTGCGGCATTTTTGGGCGTTGTCTATTCAGCCCCGGTGTTTGGTTGTTCGAGACGTAAAGGATGGTTCACCTATTAAACTACCAGTACGCATCGGATATAAAGACGGTTCTATCAAAGAAGCGGAATCGCCAGTTCTCCTTGGGGACATGTCCCGAATCTTGTCAATTCAAGTGGATTCCGAGTCATATTTTAAAGTTTCGATTGACTTCCTGGTGAATTCTGGTTATCTTGAGCAATTCAAGAACTCCCTTACCATTTTCGTGCTCAGGAAGCTGAACTACGAACTTCTAAAAGCGTCTGTGGGCTCTTTGCTTGATAGCAAAAGTTCACAGCTCCATATTACTGAAGGAGGGGCAAAAACAACTCTTCGGAAGCTCCTCAATCTGAAATTGCGAACAGGCTCTTCGTCGTTTGAAAAAGGCGTGTATATTCGGGAATCAGGCCTTGCAATTCAAAACCGTGCTTCTGAGGAGGTTAATTCTGGTCTTTCCATCTTCAACATTTTCGATGATAAATTAGAATTGACCCACAATGCGACTGCCCCAAAGCGATTGGAAGATGTCTTGAATTTGAAACTACTTATAGCCTACGCAGACTGCAAACTCCTGGACGAGCATTTCTATCTCGATGTGCAGTTCATCGAGACTATAAAAAGAAGCATTTGGGAAATAACTCATTGATACGCATTCTGACCGAATATTCAAGGAGTGCACAATATAAAAAATATCAATGAAATACATGCTCTCATAAATATATCTATGACTATCAGTTTGCTTGTTTTTCTAGAAGTTACAAATGAAAGTCTTTCTGCTCGTATTGGTCCGCTGTGAGTTGTGCGTATATCATTTCAGGCACAAAAAAATGAGTGCGGAGCGGCCGTTGCATACCTGAAAATCTCATCTTGTAACCCACACGCAGGATCGCGGTTGTTGATAGAAGTGGGCGGCTGCGTATCAAAAAAATCCCGCACCATCGTGTGATTCTAGCTTGGCCTATAAGATTTAAACGCCCAAGTACCACGCTGTTCACGTCTTCGCTCGGGCATATCTCAAATCCCCGACCAAAAAAAAAAAAGGTTTAAAGTTGGAGCATTTGCTTTTGAACACACCGAGTTCTTGCATCCATTCTATTGTCACCTTCGTGTTCCTGGAAAAAATGGTGTATCGTCCAAGATTATTTCACGGCGACGCGTCCATAATGAGACGTAAATTCTATCCCCATTCTCCATTCGTCAATGGTCCGCAGGCCATGAACATTACCCAGCCGTTGTCTAGAGCTTCCTCTGTTGCTGAGGTGGACTTCCAGAGACTGTTTCATGACAGCTCACAAACAAGACAGCGCAAATTGTGGGGTGGTTACAGGGGAGGATCGTTGCCTAAGATTCCAAGACCAAAGAAAACCGCTTTTTTCTACTCCTCATGGAGTAAAAGCGGCAAGAACATCCGGTTGCCGGGCATACCACTTTCCAGAAGAGGCATCGCCAATGCTCCACTGAGCTTGAAGTCAAAGACGAAGAGCTTTCACAGGAGGTTCTTCTCGGATGAAGCTAGAAGACAAAGAAAAGAAAGAAGAAGATTTGTTCGTTGGTGGACATTGACGTCCTTGACTGTGGTCTTGGGTGGTGTTGCATCCAAAATCATGTATGAGAGGGACTCTTATGATGAGTACGATGACGCAGAACCATTCAGTCAGTACACCATCAAGCCACAGTCTTGGCACCTTTATGCATACTCTACTCTTCCCTTGAAAACGATCTCCAGGTTGTGGGGTCAGGTCAACAGCATCAACTTACCTGTTTGGCTTAGATCTCCTTCGTATAAGCTCTATTCTGCTTTATTTGGTGTAAACTTGGATGAGATGGAAGAGCCGGACTTGACAACTTACCCAAATCTTTCTGAATTTTTCTACAGGAAATTGAAAACAGGTGTACGTCCTTTGGCTGATACAGAGTTGGTGTCACCATCGGATGGAAAGGTGCTCAAGTTCGGTGTAATTGAGAACGGTGAGATCGAGCAAGTGAAGGGAATGACTTACTCGATTGATGCTTTACTTGGCTTGTCTACAAAGCGCTTGGCCGCTCCTACACACCTGTTGAAATTCGATCATGATTGTACACACGAAACTGTCATCAAACGAGACCAAGAATTTGCAAACTTGAATGGAATTTCTTACAGTTTAGATGACATTGTCGGAGGGGAAAACGAAAGCACACATCATAAAAACGAGTTGAAGTTTAAGGATAAAGGTGATGGTACTGCTGAAAGCTCCAAGCCTTCGTTCAGTAAGAACTTGCAAGTCGCCCAGAACTTGACGCCTACACCACTTGAGAGATTGAGCCACAGTAATCACAACAATTTGTACTTTGCTGTGATATATTTGGCTCCAGGAGATTATCATCGCTACCACTCACCTACCAACTGGGTGACAACCTTGAGAAGGCATTTTATTGGAGAGCTTTTTTCTGTCGCGCCGTTTTTTCAAAAAACTTTGCAAGGCTTGTTTGTCTTGAATGAAAGAGTTGCTCTTCTTGGCTACTGGAAATATGGCTTTTTCTCTATGATTCCAGTTGGTGCAACCAACGTTGGAAGCATCGTGGTCAACTTTGACAAGGATTTGAAGACCAATGACATTTATGAACATGAGGTGTACCTGAGAAAGCCCTCGCTGTCAAATTCCTCCCACGAAAAAACATCTCTTTTGAGCAGTAGTACCGGCGACTCAAGTCTGAACAGCACCCCAGGACCCGAAGAAAATGACAAAGACCTGCAAACCAAACAAAAGAGATTAAAAAAGAACACAGTATATGAGGCCACATATACGGGTGCGAGCTCATTATTGGGAGGGTTTCCGTTGAGTAAGGGAGAAGAGGTAGGAGGCTTTAAATTGGGTTCGACAGTTGTCTTGGTTTTCGAGGCACCTGACAATTTCAAGTTTGACCTAGAGGTAGGTCAGAAGATCAAGATGGGAGAGACTTTGGGCAACTTCCACTGATTTTTATAAATGATGCTTGCACTAGGCGACGCGTTGACATCCTTTGAGATCCGCAATTTGTAGAGTTTGTCTGTAGACCGCAATATTGCTCTTCAATAACTGATACGATGCGTATACCTGTATGATATTTCAGCTCGAATTTTTTTTAGTTGTTTTAGTTTTTTATCGGTGAGGCCGTTGGATTCAAAGTTTTTCTGAAATTTCGCGAACGGATTTCAACATGTAACTCGCAACACCAGCTTAAGCATATTTGAAGTTTGACAATTCGCAGACCTAGCATATAATCGACCTCTAGCAGACATCTGATCAGGAACACAGATTAAATTTCTGGTTCCCCAAGACTACTCTTATATCTCTCGTGCGGCTCGGTATTTCTATCCTAAACCCGCGCATGTTCTAGGCGCACGGTATCTACAGTGAACCCGCGCATTTCGTTTCTTGGCTCCTTGCTTGAAGGTTTTGACGCAGTTTCTCTCCATCGTCTCTGGCTCCCACAACTTTGAATCACACTGGAATAGCTTGCAAACACACACACTACTGGAAGGAAGAATTCTGATTAGACACGCAAGCATAAGAAGTAGAACAAAAAGAATTAATTAGACAGCTCGCCAAGACACTCAACGGATATTTCGGGCAATAGAGAGTATCGTCAATCTAGTTCACGTGGCAATCTATAACAGAGTCCTTTGGCAAAGAACGGAAGACAGTGGACTTTTTTAGACCTGAATTTGGGCAAGCATATCCCATTAGAAAATCAGAAGTGACCTACCCTGGTCATTTTCACCACGATCTCACACTCACATTTACTCTTGAGCTATGTCATTCTTAAACACAATTAGGGGCTTTGGCCGCTCGACCAAGAAAAACAAGAAAGACTACGAGCCACAGAGCATTTTATATCAAACACCAAGCGGGCCCACTCTGCCTCTTCGAAGACCCCAGCCTTCAGGAAGAACCTCTCCTTCCAAACAACGAGCTTCGGTTATACAGTTTGCGCCACTGTCTCCCACGAAAAGTACAAGACAGTCCCGTGCTCGTCTGCCGCAAAGGAACTCGGCATCTGGCGCTGAACAGACAACAGAAGAACTCCCTCTATTTCTCTGTCAGCCGTTCGTAAATACTGCTTTGGTCAAAGGTTCTTTCAAGACAATTGTGCAGCTTCCCAAGTACGTCGACTATGGTGAATGGCTTTCGCTCAATATTTTCGAGATGTATGGAAATCTCAATCAGTTTTACGGTGTTATTTCTGAGTATGTAACTCCTGAACAATATCCCACCATGAATGCAGGGCCAGATACAAATTATATGTGGAAAGACAATCTTGGCCAGGCCGTGAACCTTCCAGCCTGCCAATACATCGACTACGTGTTGACGTGGATATCTAATAAGCTCAATGACCAAAGCGTGTTTCCCACACGAAATGGTGGCGCCTTTCCTCCCACGCTAGTCAAGGATTGCAAAAATATCGCTAGACAAATGTTTAGAATATTTGCCCATATTTATCACAATCACTTCGACAAGTATGTCCACTTATCGCTAGAGGCACACTGGAACTCCTTCTTTGCACACTTCATAAGTGTGTGTAAAGAGTTCAATTTGATTGAGAGGTCGGAGCTTGCTCCATTATTGCCTTTGATTGAAAACTTTGAGCAACAGGGGAAAATCATATAACTCTTTGTAAACCTGATATTATTTCAATACAATTTTGAATCTCAAAATTCATCCGATGGTATTTCCTATGTACAGATTCGGATTAGTTTCTATAATCGGCTTAAAGCGTGATCGCGTATGCTTTTCTGCATATCTCTCCACTGTTCCGGGAGGGGCCTTTTTATGAAAAGAAATAAGGCGAGTCCTTCACAACCTGGACATCCAATGATCCTCTTTCGGGGATGTCGGGAAACTTCAAAGGTACCAAGACTTGAATCGCCTTGCTCTTGGCAGAGGTGACAGTAAATTTGGAGACATCGTACTCCTCGGCAACACTGACCGTAGTCACCATTTCACGCCCCAATTTTTGCTTTGTCGCATCAGGTGACTGTAAAAGTTCCTGTCTTTTTCTTTCAATGTAGATCTCGTCAGCGACCGTAAGACCGCGCTTCAAATCCTTGACGATATCCTTTCTGATCTTCTTTACCTTTCTTGCTAGGTCGTGCTCTCCTGGAATAAACACAACCTGCAAGAACCCCTTATATCTCTTCTCGAATTCGTCACGAAGCCTGACAATCAAACTCTCTTCGTGTAATTTGACAAAAGATTCACGAATTTTCACATTCATTCTATCAACGTTCGCAGCATGAGTCCAGTAAGAGTCATGAACAGACGCAAAACTCAATTCTTCCCTTCCACAGGCTGCTGCTGTCATAAGCATATGTGTTGCGTCGAGAGAGTGAATGAAGTTTGGCGGGAATGCTGTCTGTTGTTTTCTGGCGTCAACTTGTGTAGCCTTCCAGGGATCCGAGATTGAAATGTCTTGTAAGTTTGTGGACACAACTTGATTCAGAATTGCTCTGTATGGTTGAACGCATGGCAACCCAAGAGGAGTGGTCCAAATAACGGACGACAAATGATTTGGCTTCTTGGCTTCCTGTGCATTCTTATCCTCATAGTCAATTCTCACTGACTTAGAGATACGCTTGGCAGATTCTCCCAACCAGTCCTGAATCAAGTGGGCGCCGGCAAACAATTCTCTGATGGAGGCAAAAACCAAACTTGTGAGGTACCGAGAGTGTTTTTGCACAGTTGCGTAATCATCCTTTCCGAAAAGACCCGAAAGCTGTTTTTCGATTTGCGCCACGGCACCAACAAAAGTTACACCGTACACATTGGTCATCACAGTTTGCTTCACAATCTTTCTGGAAATTTTTCCCTTCAAGAAAATAGCCTCCTCTTTACCAGTTGCTGCTTCCACTTCCAAACGTTTTTCGACAAGACTTGCCACAAACTTGTACACATCTTGTGGTCTATCAGATGGCACCAAGTTAACTTGCTTTGCACCTTCGATATCACCACCTAAAGCTGCATAGTGCTGAAGTCCGTTACAGGTTCCATCCTGGTGGACTGGAATGTATGAAACATACAGTCGAGGATCGGAGAGTTTGTGTGCTTCATTTAATTCGAAGCAGACACTCAATACTTGCCAAGGCTTATCAGCCTTTGACCACCACTCTTCATTAGCAATTGGATTCTCTGCGACTTTGCAAATATTCTCCAAATTATCGTCGACAAACTGAACTCTTTCTTCTAAGGAGGCTTTGTCGTAACCGTATAAATTTGCTAAGTGAATCTTAAGCCATCTCAAGCCAGATTCTCCAAGCTCGACTCCCTCCCAGAAAACGAATAACGACCTAGTCAAATCATTTCCAAGATGGTTGAGATGCGGCGGTAGAGGGTATGCTCTACCGCGGAAGTCAACGTTGTGTGGGAAGTACATTTTCTCACCAACATATGCTCTGGCAATTTCCAACTTATAGTTGGTGTCACATCTCTGAGATCTGAAAGATGCCGCTTGATTGAGCGCATTACGAACCTTTTTGGCATACTGGACCTTCTCGAGAGGCTCAGCGTTTTTGGGCAATGGCTCTGGAAGTTTAGGCTCCTCAACAATAGGGGGGATGTCCAAGAATTCATTTCCTGTGTTCCAGTAGTGTGAAATTACTTCAAGAACTTTAGCGTTAACACTCCAAGCAGTTTTTCCCAAGACATTCAAGCCAGCATACACTCCATCCAATCTACCGCTGTCGGAAGCAGCCTTGACATAAGCAATTGTCTCAGCAGAGTCCTTAATTCTCACAAGTGTGCTTGGGGAGAACCGATATCCTCCCGTTCTATGACTAGTCCAATCAAGTGGAGGAGTCAACATAGGGAGAAGTTGAGGCTGCACAGAGTTAACTGTTGTGTTACTAGCGAGAGAATTCACCAATTGTTTGTGCAATTTGATGATACCCAATTTTTGACCATGCACGAACTGATGCGTGTGGTGGAATGCTGGTTGCATGCCCTCAATTCTCTTGCCCGTTGAAGGCTCAGTACCCGTTACTTGAACTCTGGCGACTTGTAACAAAAAGCTAGTAAGAACAGAGCCAAGTTTTGCGTATACTGGGTAGTCCCAGTCCTGTTCCGAGTACGCTGGGTTTTGATCTGCTTTTTGTGTTTTGAGAATTTTACTCCAGTGTGAAGAACCCTTTGCTTGCAAAAATTTCTGCTGTGTCTTGACCAATAGTTGCGAGCGATATTCTAGTTCAATGGCTTTGCCGACCGAGATTACCGCTCTAGCAGTTCTCATTCCGTCTACAACTCCACCAGTGGAATTCAACTTCAACAACTCTAAGACAGTGATAACAGTCAACTTTTTGGGTGGTATCAACACCAAGAAGGGAGCGTAGAATGACCGATCTTTCATTTGATTTCTCTGTTCAGTGTCCAACAGGGTCGAGTCAATTTCATTATCCAAAAGCTCTTGGCACAATTTTGTTTCTTCCTCAACAAGTGGAAGCATGTCTTTGTACCAAATGTATAAGAGAACGTTCAAGTTTTTACTCAATTTGAGACCGCCTCTTTTCTTCATATCTTCGAACTCATACTTCCACTTTTCACGCGCACCATCGATACCCTTACTCTCCAATTCACGTTGTCTCTTCTCGTTGTAAGTTTCGAGAACTTCACAAAACTTCTGCTTGTCCTCCTCAGTTTTCAAAGATTTGAAGATTTCGTGGAAGTTTCTTTTTTTGCCATCGCTGAGATTGTGTAAGAGATGCTGTGAGCTTTCATGATTCAAGTCTTGGACAATATTCTGCAAGTCTAAATCCTCCTTACCTTCTAACCCAAGGAGAGTATGTCTGATAACTTTCAAACCGAAAGAATCAACTGAGCGAAGTTTGGCTGCTCCAGTCTCAAGAGTTGGAGCTTGAGCTTTTTCATTTTTGAAGTATTTAGGTACATCAGCTTCATTGTCTTTCCCCTTGTTCAAGGGATCCCGGATCTCATTGAAAAGAACGCGAAGATCCCATGCAACGTGATACTCTTTGATCTCTGGGTTTTTCAAAATAATCGCAAGATCACTTGGTGGAATCACGTCCATGTGTGAAAAAACTTTCTTCGACATCTGGGGATTCGCAAGTGTTTTCGAGACGATGGCCATATAGTTCCCGTTTTCACAATAAGACTTGTAAATAAAAATAGCATAAGTGCGATCGTCTGGGTGGATCCGATACTTTGAGGCCATTCTCTTGAAAAAACTGTCTGTTTCATTGAATGTAGTCAGCTCATCCAAGGCAAATGATTCTAGGTATTTATTCACCAATGTAAGGAAATGTCTAGGACCTTCGGAAAGTGGGTGGAGTGCCATCAAAATGTTTTCAGCACGAGCATAATTTCTGCTGGCTAAAAGCGCTTCAAGTAAAGATTGCAAATGGATCACGTCTTTAGCAAATGGAGACCTGGTCACTGGGTCGTATGATGAAGACCACAGCTCCGTCTTACCTTGGTTTTCATTCAGCTCAAACACTGATTCATCGATCTCGTTGAAAGATTTTGAGGAAACCTTAGACGCTCCTGTCAGGGTATTCCGTGGGTTCCGAAGTTCCTCAACTATTGAGGGAGAGAGGGTGACTTCCTTTTCGTTCAGAAATAAAGAGGCGGGCTGTGGTTCACTGGGCAAAGAAGATGTGTTTGTCAAACGAATCCCACCAATTGAAATACATTGTCCCCGTTTCAAGGAATGCAATAGCAGCACCCTATATGAAGCATTGCGAATCATAATGGGATTGGCAAATTGGGATGTTATGAGTATTCCTTTGGGAAATTTGTGTACAAACGTGTTCGCGTTGCGGATCGTATCTGTTTAAACGATATACTCTATTCGCCCTCTGACCTTTTTAGTATCCAGTCTGCTCACTTGGAATTCGAGACAAGGCAGGTTACGGAAGATTTTCAACCTGTGAGATGGCGAGAACTTGAGATGCGAAAGCATTTGGTGTATTGCACGCAGGATGTCTTTTTTTTTTCTTCAGCTCTCGCACCCGACCTACTCCCGACCCATTCCTGTTGTGAAATAGCCCATTTGAAATCTACTCCTGATTTCCCCAACTGTACTAGTGTGATGCAGAAAACATGGCCCTGCTCCTCTACTGCCACTTTCTTTTGTGACAAGATACGCCATCTACCTTTGGGGAGCAATCTGCATCCTCAAGCATGCAAGTTTAAAGAACTGTCTCACCGTTGTAGGTCCAGCCGCCGAATTGCTTCTGCACGGATTCGCTGAGGAAATCATCCACCACCGAGTCTTGTGGTCTCTCGTTCGTAAAATCTTGGTCAAAGTTGGAAGTATCCAAAAAGCCATTCACAGTAGGCTTGAATGGTGGTGCGTAGCCTTTATCCAAGAGTTTCTTCCAATCGATATTGGCAAAAAAAGGATGGCTTTTGATAGACGGGGCGTCGCTCAATCTTTTGGATGCATCCTTCTGCAACAACTTGATCAACAAATCTTCCGCATCAGTTCCAGTCAAGAAGCTTGGGAATTTGAGGGGATTTTGCAAGATCTTCTTGTACATAGTAGAGACGTCGTCGTCGTAAAAAGGAGGCAAACCCGTCAACATCTCGTATAGAAGAGTGCCGAGAGTCCACCAGTCGACGCTGCGGGTGTAGCCCTGGTTCAAGAGCAATTCGGGAGCCAAGTATTCCGGGGTGCCGCAGAATGTGTTGGTTTTGTCCTCGTTGGTCATGTTTAGCTTGCACAACCCAAAGTCGCATAGAGCAATGTGGCCCTGGTAGTCGATCAATATGTTTTCCGGCTTGAGGTCTCTGTAGATGACGTCCAAGTCATGAAGACTTTCGAGCGCGGTGAGCAATTCTGCGATGTAGAAGCGGGACCTGTCCATGGTGAACTTGCCCGACTTCTGCAAATGGTAAAAGAGCTCGCCGCCGTTGATGAAGGACAACACGAGGTAGAGTTTCTCCGGGGACTGGAAAGAGAACTTGAGCGGTACAATGAAAGGGTTGTTGATGCGCGCCAACACCGTGCGCTCGGCGAGGGTGTGGGTGACCTCCATCCGAGAGACGATGTGCTGTTTGCGCAATGTCTTCAATGCGTAGATCTGCTTGGTGTCCTTCTTCATGACTTGCATGACCTTGCCGAACGAGCCCTTGCCAATGACCTTGAGCAAGTCGAAGTCCTCGATGGAAAGGTGGGTCTTGAGCTGGGGCTTGAAGTCGATGCTCAAGGAAATGTCGCCCATCTCGTCCAGCGCGTCCAAGTTGGTCTTGAACCTGAGGCACTCGTGGTCGACGAGGCGGACGGCCTTGGTGTGGCACCGGAGGTTCAACGGCAACTTGATCAGCCCGATCTGCAAGTCGCCGAACGAGTTCGAGTTGCTCACGGTGAACAAATCAACCTTGTCCTGCCGCTCCTGCGCGGGCACCAAGCGGTTCGGCAACCGAAGATAGAGGTTCACGTTCAAGAAGTTGGCGCTGGTCTGCGAGTGGGCCACCATCTTGGTCACGTCGAACGTCATGACGCGGTCCCACTGGCACGAGTCCACGCTGCCCTTGCGCGACTCGATCATGATCATGTTGTTGTCGAACTCGACCGTCATGAAGAGAAGCGGCTTCACCGTGCGCTCGCCGCTGCTGTTGGGGATGTTGATGTTGGACGGGAGGAGCGACGCCGCCACGCTGCCGTCCAACAGATCTGGGCCCGGGCCCGGGGCCGCGCCCGCGGCCAGCTCCGCCCGGGCCAAGTCGGCGAGCCGCTTGCCCAACGCAGCCAGCACGCTCGCGTCGTTGGTGTTCTGCGCCAACGCCTGCAATATCTGCTTGTCGTTCTTGACCCGGATCGGGAGCAGCACGTTCTGCAGGCGGTAGATCTTGACGATGAGCACGCCGGGGTTGGACGCCATCACGGTGGGCGGCGCGTGGCCCGGGCCGGGCGGCTGCTGGTGCAGCGACACCGGCGTGATTTTGGTGGACGAGGCCACGGTGGTGGGCTGGCTGGCCGTGTCGGCGAGCGAGAGTTTGTGGAAGTCGGGCACGCCCGGCGACAGCTGCGACGACAAGCGCGTGTCGGAGTCTGCCGTGGCGGGCCTGGCGGGCACGTCTTTTTCCGACGTCCCGAACTTGAATTTGTTTTTGAACTTGAGCATTTTGGACAGGCCGAGGCGGGAGGGAGGTGCCGGGCGCTCGCCTTGGGGTGCGGCCCCAGAGGCGGGGCACGTGCCGGGCTGCGGGGCCTGGCCTGGGGCCAGGGCTGCGTGTGCGCCTGAGGGACGGGGCCGTTTGATCAACATGGGCCGTGTTTCGGGCGAGGGGCTGCTTAGAGATTTAGGGCAGCCGGATTTGGAAACCTTGTCGAGAGGGCGGCGGGGCACGGGTATTGTTTTTTTTTTGGCGGGGGAGTATGGGCATACGAACGGCGGGCATGCTGATGATGGCCGTGCCAATAATGGGCAGGCCCTGGGGCAGACCAGAAACGGGCAGACCAAAGCGCGAGAGGACAATTTGCAGTCTGCCCGAAAACCGCCGCGGCCCTGGCAAAAAGCGAAAGACGGGCGGGGGTCGTATGTTTTTATTTGTTTGGCACATTCATGTGGAAACCCGAGCCCGTGGTCTTTTCAGTTATTGTTTGTTCTTTTGGGCGGGATTCGCCTGCGGGCCTCTGTCTGGGACCGGCCCCGAAAAGACGGCCCTCCAATTTCCTGCGGTTATTGCCGCCCGAGGCGGGACGGCTCCTGTCGCGCTTGGAAGGTCGGCACAGCGCAGAGCAGCCGCGCCAGCATACCAGACGTTGGGTATGAGAACCGGCTGGGCTGCTGGCACCGGCAGACCAAACTAGTTTATTCTCGCTCCTTAGTACTTGCACCTTCGATCCACACAAGCCCGAGAGCGCCGCTAGAAATGGGCGTGTGGAACGCCTAAAATCACGGCTGCGAATGCACGTATTTGTAGTGGCTCTGGACGCGCTCATGCATATCTTTCATTTCCCTCTAGTCCCGGAGCCGGGACTTCAGTGTGCTTGGATAAAAACGCAACTTACAAAAATAAAACTCTTCTCAAGCAGGCGCGAGCGAAGCGCTGTGTAGAGCCGCCAGCCAAGCTGTCAGCAGGCCACGCCCGTAGAATTAAATACATTGGTATGCATGCCAATACTCGCGGTTTCTACAAAGCGCGAGCCGCTTGGGTGTGATGGACCAGTAGCCAGAGAAGTGCACTCGAACCCACGAAGGGCGGGTCTCAACTGGAGCTGTGGCCAGTTCACCACCTCACCATACTACCTAAAGAGAGACGAGCCACCATGCCTTGCATGACTGGAAAAGAGTCGGGTGTGACCAATCGCTATACTGCTAGATATGCTCGATTAGATAATCAATAGCGCAAACCATGGAATACTTGTACATCACAAGCCACTGGCACATCCAAGATCCGCAAAGATGATGATCCTGTCATTTGTTTGAACGCACGAGGCTATAGATACCCCCACAGGCGCATCACAACATACTATACTATTGGGTTTCTGTACAGCCACCACCGTGGTTCCGGACAGACGTCGCGGGACATACACGTGTCGGTTTACTATCCTTCACTGACTTCCTAGACCACAGGGCCTACCTCAACCTTATATTTCTGATCCGGTGAATAAATGGAGGAAGGCCCTGGAAACAGGACGAACAATCCATGCGGCGTTCGACATGACATCCGACGGGACCCACACCAGAAGCGCATGTAGACGCATATGCGCTTGCAAGGACCATCAAGGCCTAGCTGAGATCAGGGACCTTAGAGTTTCACACAAGACAAACGGGAGCAGCTGAAAAGCCTCAGAAATCTGGAAAGTCACTGTTCGATCTTTTGCAAGGTTAACGGTATCAGCTCACCGCATGCTAGCTTTGAGTACTCTCCCCGACGCCACATCGACCGGGGAGACCTATGAATATCTGTTTGGCTCATGAAACATCGATGAAAGCAACGGACAGTTTTGAGCGCGTCCTACCAACCCAGTGGAAACCGTAGCCGACGCCACAATCAATACGGCCACTCTAATGCAATCACACAACATATGCAGCACCCCCGTGTTTCATGACCTGTGCACCCCGATTCTCATCGAAAGCCTAATCGCGCAGCAGACTCCAGAAAACGCGTTCCTGATGGGGCCTGGCACAGTTCCGCATTGGGCCCCAGAGAACCACCCTATCATAAATTCTTAAAGCGAACCTGAATTTCAGAACCAAAGTCGGGCAAACTCGATCACATCCAACCGCAAAAAAAAATTTGGTGCCTCCTCCCCGAAGTGAGCATCCGCATTTCTAGGGCAACCTGCGCTACGTGACACGCTTTGAAATTTTGAAGAACGGAATGGAAGGTTGAGGCTCCAGTTACATTGCCTTGATCAAATATAACACTGCGGAAACTCGCTTGATCTAGGCTCCAAACGCGAGCCCGCGCGCGTGCGGATTCGGGGAGATTACACCACTCAAGGTTTTGGATTGTTCAAGGGTGCCCATAAATTCGCTCCAAAAAATTATAGGAGATCGATCAACTGCCCGTTCCTGCTGGGCACATGTCTTACAAAAACAAGCAAGAAAAAGTACAAATTTGCCAGTGCACTTTCGCAGGATGAGAGGACCGGGCAACGCGAGAGAATCGCATCACCGCCTATATGAACATAGCGAACAGTACCGCTAAGCCCGAAAAATAGCGGAATCTAAGGAATGTAGAAAAATCATTTCCTGCGTTTCTTTCTTCAATACGCATAACAGTCATACAAGTAAAGATTATGCCAGCTGTTCTCTGGAATCAATTCTTGTGGCCTGCAAGAACTGACGTGTTACTTGGAAACCAGCTGATTAAAATCATTGACTGGGGGCCAAAGTCGCGTTGGCTGTTTCTTGTTGTCTGTCCTGCAGAGCGCGCTGGTGCCACCGCCTTAATGTTTGTTTACCTACGGGCGATGGTTCTGCACATAGACGCAGGCCTGCCTCGCTACCGACCCTCGTCCAAGAAGAACAGTGCACGTCTATGCGATCTGTGTTTTTTATCCTCTACTTACCATCAACCACTCGGTAAATATACGTGATTCTAGAGAAAGATATTGTGGATAAAGTGTCAGTATCCCTGCGGCCCATTAAACTTCAAGCTTCTAGGACTGCTTTCTTCCCCGGCTGCTTGCATCATTGGTACCTTCAACGGAGCGTATCTGGCCACTGTCGCAGTACTGATTTCTCTCGACTCTACGATCCTGCCATCCACGTTCGCTCATCTTTTCACTCTGTCTTAGAAGCGTCAGATACTGGTTTGAGAAGGATATTCCGTATATCAATATCCAAGGCTACTCATCACAAACTTCGTCTGAAGAACTCTCTTCTTTTTATTGAGGCTTACATTGTCGAGAACTCGCACTGCAATCACATCGCAACGAACACAAAGACAGACCCCTTCGGTCCCACAATTCACCCATAAAATGGCAACTGTGGTTCAGCATACTTCTGCAAACATTCTTGACACAGCCTCGCTGCCGGCAAATGTCGATAAAGTAGTTGAGTCTGTGACCAATGCAACAAAACGATTGTCGCAGATCTCTACAAACACAAATTCGTCAGCCAAGAAAAGACGGGCCCAAAACAAGATTGGTCCTTGGAAACTTGGGCGCACACTAGGCCGTGGATCGACGGGACGTGTTCGCTTGGCGAAAAATGTGCACACAGGCAAGTTGGCGGCGGTGAAAATCGTACCCAAACTGAATTTCAAGAAACTTGAAAACCCAAAGTACAAGAACAACGATGCCGCTCGTCTCCCATACGGCATAGAACGTGAGATTATCATCATGAAGCTCATTGCTCATCCGAACATCATGGGCTTGTACGATGTTTGGGAGAATAAGAATGACCTTTACCTCATCTTAGAGTATATTGAAGGTGGAGAATTATTCGACTATCTCATCAAAAGGGGCAAACTACTGGAGTTCGAGGCTGTCAGCTATTTCAAACAAATCATTCGCGGGATTGCGTACTTGCATCAGTTTAACATCTGCCATCGTGATTTGAAACCTGAGAACTTGTTGTTGGACTTCAACAAGAATATCAAGATTGCAGATTTTGGAATGGCTGCTTTAGAAATCGACAAGAAACTTCTAGAAACTTCTTGCGGCTCACCCCATTACGCTTCTCCGGAAATTGTGGCGGGTGAAAACTACCACGGTGCCCCCTCGGACATCTGGTCCTGTGGAATTATTTTGTTTGCACTCCTTACGGGCCACTTGCCATTTGATGACGAGAATATCAGAAAGTTGCTCATGAAGGTGCAGAATGGCAAGTTCATCATGCCGAAAGATATCTCTTGGGAGGCCAAGGACCTCATTTCCAGAATGTTGCAGGTAAACCCAAGGGACAGGATCTCTATTGAGAACATTCTTTCGCATCCACTCTTGACGAAATACCCAGATGTTCCGTCTGCTACCTCTGATCAAACATTCCTCACTCTGTCCAGCATCAAGCCAATCTCTTGCATGGATGAAATCGACAAGGAAATTTTAAGAAACTTGTGCATACTCTTTCACAATTGTCCCGAGGAACAAGTTCTGCGGCGTTTGTTGTCTCTGGAAAAGAACCCAGAGAAAATGTTTTACTACCTACTCATGAGGTACCGCGATACACATTCTTTCAATTCGAGTACAACAAACTACATTGACGATGATTCAGATTTGACTGCTTCGGAATCCAAGCACACACTACCCAAATCGTCGTCCGCCACAAAGTCTTTCAGAAGTGATGCTCGTTCAGAGTCTTCAAGTCCTGTTCACAGTAAGAAGAAAGCGCTCAGAAATATCACAAACGCGTCATTTACGGCGTCTAACTCATCCAAAAAAATAACTACTCGCAAGAACGCTGTCATCTCGAGAACTGCGTCTACTGTTACATTGAAAGCAAAGAGTAGCAGGCCTTCCCTGAGCAATCAAATTTATTCGACAAAGTCAAAGGAAACAAAGCCAATAAGCAGAAAACTTACACCAGGATTTATCAATGCGTCTTATGTTGGTATTACGGAGGAAGAGAAGGAAAATTTTTCTCAAAATGGCACTATCTTGAATTTCCAGCAGATTTGCCAAGATACTTTTGATTCCAATGTGAAAAGTCAGACAAAAACGGGTGTGCGTCAAGAAAAAAATGGGAAGCACAGCATTGAAGGTTTTGGAAAACTGAAAATCATCAACAGTCGTTCTAGCAAGGCTTCCTTGAATCTTTCTGCTATAGGCAAACCAAGCGTGGAATACTCGGCTCAGACCGTAGAAGCCAAACTGACCAGTCAATCCGCATGCAAGAACCCGTCTTCAACCAAGTCTACCATAAAGTTGAAAGACTTTGATGAAGAGAAGAAATGGCAGTCAAAACTTTTACATGAGAAGCTGAAAGAGGCTTCGCAAAAGATATCTCAGATCAATTCCACCAGAAATGTGTCTCTACCCGCACCAACGTCATCTTTAGACCCTAGGGTAGGCATCAACTCTTTAATGAGAGCAAGGACTCTCAATTCGCATGCCAAGTCTGGTAATTCTGTTGCAGAAAAAAACAGTAAGGTCTTGCAGAGATTAGGCATCAGTTTTAGTCCACAAGCTTCTCCGTCCTCAGTCATATCACGCTCTAGCTCTGTGATAAAAACTTCTACGTCCAAGAACTTGGCTGGACTTCTTCAGAAAGAAAATCTAATAACATCCAACTCAGCAGAACATGATGATGGGGCCATCCAACACACGAACGCTTCCTATAAGAGATCATCAGCACATTTGAAGTCTGAAGGACGGCAAAGCGTGCAGTATTCCATGCTCAATGATATAAGTGAGAGATCCCCAGCTGACTCTTCTCAGATACAGTTCGAAAATGAAATTCAAAGGCAATATCATGTGACTGAAGGAAGACGGTCTTTGATCCCACGCCCAGAATTTTCTAGATCGTCTTTTTTTGACCTTCTTCATTCTCAGCCGGAATCAGCGAATATGATGATCATGCAAAACACCATGAGCTCTGGTACAGTGAAGAGAAAAAGCGGAAGGAAATCACTTACCACGACGCAAGGTCAAGGTCAGATCAGCCGGTCAAGTTCGAAGGACTTTCCTGGTTTGGGTCTCAGATTGACGGATACCGAGTCCAGAACGAATTTGAACTCACACAATGATGATGGTGATATGAATTTTGTTTCCCTTAGCTCATGTGATTTCACTGATTCTGTGCGTGGGTCTACATTGGAAAAGAATGCTACCAGTTTGGAGGATAGTGTTGTTTCTGAAGACTCAACAATGTCAGAGGATTTCAACTTAACTGATAAGTTGATAAACATGAACCAAAGTTTCAACCCTGAAGTGAACGGTATGGATGCAAGTTCTCAACAAGAAGGGTTGTCCGACTATTACTTGAGCTCAGTTCTCGATAAGTCTGGGCAATCGACTTCACATGACCATCTGAAGGATAACAACATGGCATCAAAAAGCACTCTTGTCGATGAGGAAGCAGGTAGTTCGATCAAATCGATGTACAAGTCTTATGAAACCTTATACCAAAGAGATCAAGACAAGTCTACAGCTAAAGACACCTCAACCTTCGGCAAGCTGCACGAACAATCTGAGTCTAGGAATTCTTCGTTCAACGCCGCTGGTACACATGCTAACATCCTAGATACATCAACTTTAGATGAAGAGTCACACTACCAAAATTCCTCCCCCAAAATTTCACGTCTCAGTCGGAGCAGGTTTCCACTGGCCGCATTTGATGTCACATCCAATACAGAGCACCTTGAAATTGCTGGAGGTTCGTCTCTTTTAAAGGCGCGTCATCAAGGCAGCACAAGCTCATTGAGAAAGTCCACAGCATCAACTCAGATTTTCAGCTCAATGGACGTACATGCTAAAATCAACTCGACGGGTACAGAGCCAAGCCGCAATAACACGGTCAAGTATGAGAAAAAATCGCTTCCCAGCCCATCTGTGCCGCAGGGAGAGCATCTAGTCGATGTCCGTTCCCGGAAGTCCAGCCATAGAGATGACAAGGTACAAAGTTCGACTTCAATTGCAGGAAAAGAGAGCTTGAAGCCAATGAGAGAGGCGCCTAAAGCACCAGAGCTTAAGGAAGGGAAACAGAACGGCCACGACAGATTTTCTACATTGACAGCGAAATCAAATGATAAGCGTTTGCCCAGCAGCAACTCACCAAAGCAGTCAAACCCTGGTTGGTTTAAGAGATTTTTCATGTCATTGTCAAAGAACAGAGAGGAGCCGAGTGGAGAGTCAGCTAAAAAATCCGGTGACCGGAAAGTTCATATTGTGGATACCAGCCTTCTGTCCTCAGAGTTAATGAGGATTATCAAAAACCAGATCACTCTAAAGCAGATGGAAGGAACGGTTGCCAATGTGGATATTGACGAGGAATTTGCTCTTATTTGCGGGAGTATTCCCAGCAGGTTCGTCAGAGGTCGCAAATTACACTTCAAAATGGAGATCATCGACCTTGTGGACTTGTCGTCTCTCCATTTGCTCCGAGTGAAAGGCTCTAAGAGCGGGTTTTCAAATCTAGTAGACGTGGTGACGTTTGTCATCAAACAAGAAGAGGAGGCTACGAACGTACGCAAGTCTACCGCGTATGCCTTTGTTGGACAAAAGGTATGATGGGTCCTCCAGAACTACAATACAAGAAAAGCCGCTCTTACAGAGTGCTCTCAATAGGTAGAATACAGTGTTTTCGTTTAATATTAATATATTTGAGTGTCATCAAATTTTATGTTTCGTCCCGCTTCCAAGTACTTGGAGCTATCAACGCGCGGTGCGGTACGCCGCACCGCATTCATGACCAAGCGTTGCATAGTTGCAACCCTACAAACTTTAGCTCCAGACACTCGCAAATTAGAGAAAATCTTTGGAGCACTGCATTGACGGATCAGTGGAACATCTCGTATAAACACGCTACCAATGCCGGGAAACATCGTGCGTGCATTGGGCTGGGACATAGGCTACGAGCAGCAGTTTCTAGCGGTGAATCCGCTTGGTGACGAGATCACGCTCTATCAAACCCACCATGAAATCGAAGGCATTGAATCAAATGAATTGCTCAAAATGCACTCTCACACAGGCATAGAACATATCCAGTGCATGGCGTATCTGAAGGCCCGTGTGGGCTGGACAGGCGTCGGCACTATGGACGGCAATGCACACATCTTTGACATCACGCGGGATAGCAGTTCCAGCGTGCAGCTCAAAACCAAACACAATAGGCCCTGTAACTCGCTCAGTTTCAATGATCAGCTGCTTGTCGCGGCCAGTTTCGACAAATCGCGCCAGGACAACTCGTTGCAGGTTTGGGACTTGACGAAACATGCCCTGGTGTTTTTGGCCGCAGACGACGATGAAGGCGCCCGCGCAATCCGCCCGCAGGCCGGATATTTGGCCAATGAGGCCACGTTGTCCACTTTGTTCAACAGTAGTGACCCATCGGGCATGTTGCTCATGGCTGGAGGGTACAAGCTTTTGCGAGAATTCGATCTACGCGACCTGTCACCCACGCCAATATACCAGGTGGCCACAAAGAGCACCATGAAATTGGCACAAGACACATTTCAGCTGCAGATGTTCTCGTCTATGAGCGAGGACGGCTCCGTGTCCATCTGGGACCGCAGGAAACTTGTAAGTACTGGCAAAGGATCCATGTCCTCGGAATCGCCAGTGCTCCTCTTCCCGAAGTTGATGAGCGACAACCTGCGGCGGGGTGCGGCATCTTGCTTTCGCTACTCCACCATCAGACGCGGTGAGTTCGCCGCGGTTTTCAATGGCGATCTCATTCGCAGATGGAACACAGGTGTTGTGCCGAAAAACAATAGCATGGCTTTGCCAACGCTCACTTCAAACACTGATGTTGTGTCTGGCCTCAAACAACAGAGCATGCAGCTCTACAACCCACGTGAGGACCTGCTTTTTGTGGCCATGGTTTTGGACTGCAAGACAGACTTGCCTCGTGTGATCTCCTTCGACTACTCGCCCGATACGTCCTCGCACACTTCGACCAACTTCGTCTGTATGAGAGAAAAGGGGCTGGTGTTTCGCATGCCTGTTGCTGAGAGCGTGGAGGCACTTGACTTCAACTCTTGCAACGAGTTCTCCGTAGCTGGTCCAGAGGGAACTTTGACCCGCTTCCTAGACTCGCCCTTGTCGGCCGAGCAGGCCCCACAAGCAGTTTTGAAATCTCACATAAATGGAAATGAAAACTTCAAGGCCCATCCCACTTTTTCGGAGGAAGCAATCTCTACAATAGGCGACGAAGAAAGTACTGAACCACTTTCCAGTGTGAGACCAGTAGAGGCCCCAAGCGCGTATGCGGAGAGAAATTTCAGTGATCAGAAACGCGCAGAGGAAGAGGATGTGTATATCCCGCTTCGTCGCATATTGGATTTATCGGACGTGTTGCGTAATGATATTTGCTGTGCAATCCGCCAACGCGTCGAGTGTGGGTACGGGGTTGATAGCGAGAGAAACTTCCAAGTGTTGGAAAACACAGAAGGCGCTGGGGCCTCATTGCTGTTAAGAAACACCTGGAAATGGATAACCCTAGCAAAAAAATCGCTCGAAAAGGGTACAATGGTCAAAGAAGGCGCGGATTTGGGATATGTTGGCGTACTTGCAATGTGGAAAGGTGTTGAGGAGCTCAGAGGACAAAATAGGGTCAGACAGAACAAGCCAATTTCTGAGGACATGTTCGCCAATGCAGTGAGAGTTATTGCCGCCAGCAAAGGCGAGAAGTCTTCGGGCATCAGTGTATTACACACAAGTGAGAGACCGTTGCAAAGAAAACTTTCTCTCATTGTGAGTGGATGGTACCTTGCTTCACATGAATTCGATGAGAAGCTCAATGTGCTTGTCAAGGATGGACAAATCGAAAAGGCTGCAGGCTGGGCTGTCTTTCACGGTGATGTATCCCGAGCTATAGAAATCTTGTCTGCATCAAAGAAAGAGCGTCTTCAACTTATGTCCACTGCAGTAGCTGGATACATGGCGTATAAGGACTCGAACATTAATCTGCCTTGGAACGATCAGTGCCGCAAACTCTCACTGGAACTTGACAATCTGTACTTGAGGGCAATTTTTGCCTTCATCGCTGATAATGACTGGTGGGACGTGTTGGATGAACATAGCTTACCTTTGAGGGAGAGACTAGGTATAGCTATCCGGTTTTTGTCCGATAAAGACTTGAACGTCTATCTCAACAGAGTGGCGGATTCTGTTGTAACCAAGGGGGAACTAGAGGGTCTTATCTTGACGGGGCTAACACCAAGAGGAATAGATCTTTTGCAATCGTATGTGGATCGAACGTCTGATGTGCAGACTGCTGCTTTGATTGCACAATTCGCTGTCCCAAGGTATTTCAAAGATGAGAGAGTGGATCATTGGATTGACTGTTACAGAGAATTACTCAACTCATGGGGCTACTTTAAGCAAAGAGCCAAGTTTGATGTTGCCAGAACAAAGTCCTCACGCAATTCGAGTGATGTCGTGACCATCCGACCGGCACCGAGACAAGTATATTTACAGTGCAAGCTGTGCAAAAAAAACATGTCATCGAACTCTTCAAAAAATGCAAAGAGTGCCACGAACAATTCTATCTTGATGAAACAATTCAACCACAGATTGAGTCTCAAGGGAACCAACAACTACTTCAATCTGTGCCCACATTGTGGCTCTCAGTTGCCCCGGTGTGCAATTTGCCTCTTGACGCTTGGCGGATCCACTGCTCTGGTAGCTGATTCAAAGTCTACAGATACAAACGGAAGTTCTGTCCATGTAGATTTTGACAACAAGTTCAGCTTTTGCTTGAGCTGCAGCCATGGATACCACGCGCATCACGCGGAGGAGTGGTTCAGCAAGCACTATATTTGTCCTGTTCCAGACTGCAACTGCAGGTGTAATGACAAATAGCAGTGTAAAATCCTAAAAGAAACAGGTGTGAAATGAAAGCCAATGTGGCCCAATTGAAAGATAAAGTGACTACATTGGTTGTTCAGATTCTTCGTATCATGGGAATCTCGCGTGGAGTTAAAGTTGCAAAATAAAGGAGCAAGATGATGCAAATGAAAGAAAAAATACTAATCTTGCCAGGATACCTTCTTTCTGTTGGCCAAGAAATCGGTTTGGCAATTCTAACAGCTCTGAATATATTATTTGGAACTAATATGCATAGTTGCAGCCATGCCTCGCTGGCCGCGGCAAAAGCATGCGGTGGAACGATCACGTGCGTGTCAGCATTGGATCAGCCATCCGCATGGGGAAACTCGTCAACACAAAATCCGGCATTCTCACGATCTTTCATAGCAACACCTAAAAACTGTATCCTACTTCTGGAGAGGGACTTGGGCTGTGATTTCCTAGTGCGCCATATAGACGGAATAGAACTCTTACGATTTGGAGATTATTTCTTTCTCGTTTCCCTAGAATTGCCTCTGCGAGCAATATCTCGATACGTCTCTCGTTCTTGTTTCGGGAACAACGTAAAAAGCTTCGAAAAAGCTTCTGTGGCTCACAACACCTAGTTTACACAAAACAAATCAATCATTCAAAAATTTCACGCCTTAACAACCAAGAATTATCTATACTATCTTGAAATATGCTGCAGTCCAAAGAGAAAGTTCTCGGAGACATCAAAGGAAAAATTGACCGAGAGATCAAGCTCATTCAGGGGTTTCAGGCTGTGAAGCGCAACACTTCAAACCAAGAAGTTATTCAACGGTGCAACACGCAAATTCGCGAGACCCAGTCTAACATTGATTATCTCCAAGAAACGTTTGATAAGCTTCAACTCAAGGTTGGAGAATCTCAGAACACCGTTTCATCTGGGCGGGGAGAAATTGAAGGCTCACCACGAAAAGCCCGCGTGACTTCGATAGCTGCACCCTTGTACTCCCGGTTTGATCTCATAAAATATGACTGCCCGTCATTGGGTCATAAGATTCAATATATGCTTCAACAGCTTCAGTTCAAGCTCCAGGTGGAGAATCAGTACCGCTCGGCAAACGAGAAAATATCGCACTTATACTTGATGGATGGAGACAAGTCTTCGTCAAGTGCTGCTGAGGGCGGCAAGCTCGAATCTGACCAACGGATTCAGATCTTGAACAGATCGTTGAAAAAGTACCAGGGCATGTTTGTTGATGTTGAAGAAGTCAACCGTGATTTGGAAATTATGAACACTCCCAAATATGCCAGAAAGCCTTTGACTGGACGTCTTAATATCCAAATAACTTGCATCAGGGATGTGGACCACATCGCACTGCCTATGTTTAACAAGAAGTCGGAGTCCATTGTCTCGATAAAAATCGATGATGTGGAGCGTGCCAAAACAAATGGATCACGGAACGGCAAGTTCAATGACGATTTTCTGCTCCAAGTGGAAAAGGCTCACGAGTTGGAGATCACTGTCTATGATAAGTCCGGCAATCATCGTACCCCTGTAGCTTTGACCTGGATTCTTCTTTCAGACATTGCCGAGGAAATCCGTAAAAAGAAAATTGCCAATGAAATGGGAAATGACGTTTGGATACCAGCTCTGAGCATACCTGCGCAATCCTTGAACAGACCCCCGATGGTTCCTCTGGGAAACTCAAATTTTCTGGTACACAGTGGGCCCTCTGATGACTCAACAGATAAAGTAAAGTCCTCAGTGGATAGTACGAAAGCCATACTGGTATCCGCCTGGGTCAATCTTGAACCAGTCGGCCAAATTTTGCTCAATCTCACTTTTGAAAAAGACACTGGTGAGAGCAGATCCGCTTTCATGGGTGCTCTTGGTCGTCACGGTGCCATCAAGCAAAAAAAGGAAGAAGTTTTCGAACAGCATGGTCATCAGTTCGTTCAAAAACAATTTTACAATATCATGTCATGCGCCTTGTGTGGCGAATTTTTACGATACTCTGGATTCCAGTGCCAAGATTGTCGACTTTTGTGCCACAAGAAGTGTTTCCAGAAGGTTGTTACTAAATGTATTTCAAAATCGGGAACGACTTTCGAGGACGAAGTCAAATTCAAGCACCGCATTCCTCATAGATTTGAGCCTGTTCTGAACCGTGGTACCAAGTGGTGTTGTCACTGTGGCTACATACTCTCATGGGGAAAGAAAAATGTCCGCAAATGTTCGGAGTGTGGTGTCATGTGTCATACTCAATGTACACATTTGGTTCCTGACTTCTGCGGCATGTCTATGGAGATGGCCAACAAGATTTTGATGACAATCAAGTCTACTAACCCTCCAAAAACGTCTGTGAAGCAAAAGGATAAAGATGTACCGCCAATTCCATCCAAATTTAGTGGGACACAAATGATCCCACCGTTGCAGACTACACCAAGCACTGACCAGTACTCTCGAACTGAAGAATCGCTAAGCAAAGAGAATGCACACTCACATCCATACCATAAATTGCAACCTCAGTCTCTGCAGGCTCAACGGTTTGAAGATGAAGAGGACAGTGGCATGAAATTTAAATTGCCCACGAAATCAAACAAACAAGTGCAGGAATCAATTGACTCACCATACGCAAGACACCCAATAAGATCCTCACCCCATGAAGATGATAAAATAGCAGATCGTGATTTGGAAGACCAAAGACATGACTATACTTTTATTTCCAACAAACTGGAGGACTTCGAAACAGGAAACAATCCTCAAAGTAAGATGCTTGCAGACACCAGCACCAACAATCCATTTGAGTCGTCAAGTAACGTTAACGCATTCGAAAATTTCAATTACAACGATACTATTCTTCCTCGTGATGTGCCTCAAGTATCTGCACAAGAAGCATCGTCCCATAGTCGAACGCGCGAGGGTCGCTCGAGCAGGTCGAAGAAAAGAAGGAGAATCGGACTTGATGATTTTCAATTCTTAGCTGTTTTGGGCAAGGGTAACTTTGGTAAAGTCATGTTGGCAGAATCCAGACAAACAGCGAAGTTGTGTGCCATTAAAGTTTTAAAGAAAGACTTCATTGTTGAGAATGAAGAAGCTGACAGTGTAAAATCTGAAAAAAGAGTTTTTCTTACTGCCAACAAAGAAATGCATCCTTTCCTTTTAAATTTACATTGCTGTTTCCAAACTGAGAACAGAATTTACTTCGTCATGGAATACGTCTCTGGCGGCGACTTGATGTGGCATATTCAAAAGAACCGATTCACCGCTAAGCGGGCAAAATTCTATGCCTGCGAAGTTTTATTGGCTTTGAAGTATTTTCATGAAAATGGTATTGTGTACCGAGACTTGAAACTAGACAACATTTTGTTGACAACGAAGGGACACATAAAGATAGCGGACTACGGATTATGTAAGGAAAACATGTGGCACAGGGGCACAACGGGCACGTTTTGTGGTACGCCAGAATTTATGGCTCCAGAAATTATTGGGGGCAAGCAGTACGAAAGATCAGTGGATTGGTGGGCATTTGGGGTTTTGATGTTTCAAATGTTGTTATGTCAGAGTCCTTTCAAAGGCGACGACGAAGATGATGTTTTTAATGCAATTGAGCATGATGATGTAAGATACCCAATCAGCATGCCTCGGCAAACAGTCCTAATTTTGCAGGCTTTGTTGACCAAAGATCCAAAAGAAAGATTGGGCAGTGGTGAAAGGGATGCTTTAGAAATTATGGAGCATCAATACTTCCTGGATGTCAATTTCGATGATGTATTGAACTTACGTATACAACCCCCATTCCTCCCGGAAGTTACGAGCGAGCATGACTACTCAAATTTTGATCAAGAGTTCACCTCTGAGACACCAAGGTTGACTCCTGTGGAAACTGTCTTGACCTCAGAGATGCAAGAACAGTTCCGTGGGTTTTCGCACATAGCAGACGATGCCCCTGTTTGAGGTATCAGTACAAGTAATAAAATAATCGTTGGTCGTGAATTTTTAATGTCATAAAAAAGTTATAGGAAGAATTATATAGATCATCATTTCATTGAACAAAGCTTATACTATGTTACAACAGCTGGATGTTGCTTTATCCACCTTGGAACCTGGAGCTTGTGACAACCGCGAAGTACGAAACGAGGACTCCAAGCTCTTCAGAGAAGCGGTTCTAAATTCATTAAGTTTTTCTGTTGGTTGTTGATGCACTGACACCTCTGAGGGATTCTCTGACTTTGCTGCACTGCTCCTTGAACTTGTAGGGCTTGTCCGCTTCAATGTAATCTCAGCCATACGTTTAAGGACGAAGCTGTCTTCTTTCAAATTATCCACTTCATCCACTAGAAAGTCTTTCAGGTCATTTGACAAAGCTTCGGTATTTCCCAAATTTGTTGGGAGACAGTTTTGATGCTCATCTTTGAGAAACAAAACTTCAAGGAGAGGAGCAAATACATTATCAACTGGCCTGTCATCGTATAAATCAGCCTCTACAAAGAGCAATGCACCGCAGCTTTTTGCTAGTGCCTCTCCCTGACTGGCCAGTACTTGGTCCATCTGATTGAGATCTGGCTTCAAACTTACTATGACACATGGTGGAAGTTTATCTCTGACAGATTCAATACAATTTATCGTGTACTCAAGCGCTTCAAACGATTCCGAGCTGGCTGCTGCATATGCAAAAACCATTGTTTGTGCATTGTTCACTTGGTAGGAATTTTGTGTCAACAAGGTATCCACACCTGCTGAGCTGTTCAAAATTGAAATATGCTTATTGATGGTAGTTTCTGATGTCACAGAGCTTGAATTGAGGCAGTGACATGGCCTCTCAACGGATTTGTAAACAAGGCACTCTGACAGCTCAAACTCAGGTACGTCACGAGCACCCATAACATATTTTCGGAGTAATGTAGTCTTGCCCACGCCTCTCTGTCCAATAACTAGAATATCAAAGGGCGAGTTCATCGTGGTGATTCCATCCACTATAGTGTACATGACGTAGGTTGGAATAAAGAGCTTACTGGCGTTTTGGGGGCGTTTTGTATCAGTAAATTGTTGAGACTTTGAATAGACTGATGGTTTAAAAGGCGAAAAAATGAAGTTGATTGCAGAAAGGAGGTTGTTGAGTGGAGTAAAAACGATGGAGCAGAGCCACCTGGAGAGAACTTTTAATGCGCACCTTTGATCGCTGCATGCAACAAATAAGAGCCGATATGTAGGAATGGACGAGTCGAAGGTGAGGCGTAATGTATGTCTCATACTCGTGGCAAATTCTTGACTTTGGAGGATGATCGTGAGCATAGGCGGTCTCTTGGAAACGCTATGAGCTACCTCCGCTCGGAAAAGAACTCTAAAGGAAGAAGAGCGCACACGAAAGCTAAATCAAATAATTGCCATCTCAGCAAGAAATTGCCGTTGAATGACTTGTCTTAGAATTTTGCATTGCCGAGGTGGGACGTGCATAGTACTCCTTTGCTAAATCCTGTTGCGCTGTCACCCATTTCGCGTTGCTTCGGCACCAGCGCGAAATCCAATACAATAGCGCAGTCATCACATTTCATCTCATCGCACAAAAAGAGTTTCACGGCTAATTTCATTCATGAAACCATGACTAGTTAGATCCGTTAAAAATCTGCACGCATGTCCAGCTGTCGAAAACGTTTTATTTCACGAATCCATGGAAAAAGAGATACCAGATCTCAAAGTCTTCGATGTATTATGCTGCACTTCCCTTATTCACTGTCTTCTACGCCGCGCACTCTCTTCCGTACCTGAAACGGCGATATATTCAGCTTCTGCATATAATTCCCGGTGTAATGCCTCGCATCAATAAGGCTTAAATCGCGCTTTGAGACGTTGTGGCAAATTAATCCGAGACAAGCGTTCAAAACGGATTTTATCTATTGCCACGAGTATATACCACATTAAGGACCAGCATGGGTATTCGATTGTTAGATAACTTATTCAAGCAACAACACAGCAGTGCTCATTACACTTCATTGTCTTGTTCCGATACTACCTCGCACCATTAAATGCCTCAAAGATTCATGAGGTGCACACAAAAATTCAAAGGCACACAACCCCGACTTGCGGGGTTCCGGACTTGAGAATTTTACAATTCCAAATCTGGTAATCTTCAAAGTTTGGAACTATTTCAGCAACATATTTACACTACCCACTTGATTCAGTTCAGTCTGAATCGTTGTCTTTCGTTCAGGAACCAGTCTCACATTTCATCGTCTGAGCCTAAGTATTGGGCGTAGTCTTCAGCAGAGGCAAATGTAGGCAAGGCCAGTAATTTGGTCTTCTTCTTTTTCTTGTGCTCGCCGTCCAGTTTCCTCTTCTTCTCGGTGCCTGCATCAATGGATTGATCGCTGTTGTTTAGTTCTTCATCTTCATTTAGACTGAACTCACCATCGCTCACTTCATCCTCGTCGTTTTGAAGAGCACTAAAGGCACCTTCATCAGAATCCTCTGCAACATCACTGTCCTCTGGAAATTCACCTGCATCTTCAAAATTCTCAAAATCGTCTGCGGCTCCGTCGGCGTTCTCATCCAAATCACTCATATCAGCAAAGTCTGCCTCGTCAAAGTCCGAGAAGCCAGCGTCATCAGAACCTTCAACATCAGGCTTCAGTTTCACTAAAGCATCCCAGACCTCCTCTTCTCCGAATTCTTCATCTTCGTCGTTTTCGTCGCGCGACTTTTTGCCACGAATCTTCTTCTCATTTCTAGTGAAATAGTCGTAGAAGAATTTTTCGTCTGGTCTGACCAGTTCCGCCTTCTTTGAAAGCCAATCAATTGTATTGACCGGGATATCAGATGATTTGACATTTGTTGCACGCACCAATAGTGAGCCCAGGTGACCCCCACCCAAGGGCTGCATGATTGAGGAGCCCTTTAAGTTACTTTTCTGCTTAGCATTCTTGTAAACAAATCTATCCAAGAAGTGAGCCAACAGGAAAAGCCCCAAATCAGGCTTAACTTGGGGTTTACCTTCGACGAGCGACGTCGCGTAAATTGAGACTGATGGGTGGTAGTGGTTCATAAACAGAGCAATCTCCCACATACTGGATTTTTGAGCATTGGCATACTCTGGGTCTCGCTTCTTGGGGTCATACTCTGAGTCATCGACTTTCGTGTCCACATTGGAGTCAGAAGTGAGATTTTCTGGTCTGGCACCCTCTGCCTCCATTAACTCCAAGATCTGTGGATGAGTTTTGCTTAACTCCATAAGCAAATAAAACATACCAGTTATTGCACCAACGTTAACCCAGTGACAACAAATTTGAAGAATCCTCTTCACAAAAGCCAAAACTCTAGGAATGTTTTGAATATCATTTTTCAAAGACTTGAACAACAAGTTTAAGTAAATGCCTTGTTTTGAGGAGTTCACCAATCTGGGATCCATCAATGACTCATAAAGAGTGCGGTAGAAACGAGACGAATCCAAATCTTGTTGAGAAATAATCTGCTGCACTAATACCAAAGCTTGCACGGAGGTGTTGAAGTTGGTGGAGTGAGTGATTTTGTACAAGGTGTTCAAATGATTTGAGTAAATTTCGGAAGGTAAATCTGAAAATGGAAACGCACGATTCAAGCCGGTAAGAAGAGCAGAAAACATTTTAGCACTGCGTTCCTCAACAACCTCTTCTTCGGATTTCTCTTCTTTCTTAACAGACTTTCCTCCTTTTTTACCTTTCTTGAAAGCTTTTCTGTTATTCTTTCTTCCTCTTTCGCTCTTTCCGAGCACTTTGTCCTCAGCTGCATCTTTCAACGCGGGATCAGACTCAATAAGAATTTTCTCAAAAAGAGAGAAATAAGTTTTTACTAATGAGTTAGCCAAATCGGTATCACCACGCAGCAAGATAGTTTGGTTAAGAGTCAAGATTGTGTAATATTGCGAATGGTAATCGTGGTTCTTTTGAAGCACCATGTCTGTGACAGAGTCAGTGACAATCTTTTTCATAGCGGGATGAGTTTCCTCTAATTGAAGAATCTGGTAAGATGTTTT